ACACACACACACACACACACACACACACACGTTTGGTTTGCTATCCTTGTGGGGACTCTCCATGTGCGTAATGGTTTTTCTACTGTACAGACCGTATTTTCTATTGCCCTACACCAACCCTACCCCTAAACCTACCCCTCACAGGAAACTTTCTGCATTTTTAGATTTTCAAAAAAACTTCATTATGTGTGATTTATTAGCTTGTTTACCCGTGGGGACCTCAATTTAGGTCCCCACCGTGACACGAGTCCCCATGAGTCTGTGTGTATTCAGGTTTAAGTCCCCACCAGAATAGAAAAACAGGTACACACAGAGAGAGAGAGAGAAAGAGAGAGCTTAAATTAGAGGTTTAGCTTTTGTGGCTTGGGGACAGTGTGGCTGGTCAATATGTCTTTGTGAATTGGTGAGCTACCGAATTAGTGCCAATATTTTCCCAGTTTCTCTTTTTAATGATACTTCAAAGTCCTGTTGGGGTGGAAAACTCAGGGTTAGCCAGGGAGATGAGGATCAAAACATTAGACATTAAAATTTTTTTAAAGATAAGTCCAAACTGGCTAAGCAGTCAGAAGCCTCAAAAGTTCAACATCAAAAAGCTTTTCATGTTGCGTGTCCTGCAGAATGTGGGAGTTTATGTATAAATGTGTATATGTGTGTGCCCTGTTTGTGTACAGACAGAGCAGAGGTTATGGGAATAAGCTTGTGTGAGTTTGTGCGCACGTGTTCGGTTATCTCCATGAGCTAGCATGGGTGTCTAAAGAACTTCTGCACATACTTTCCCTCATATTTCACTTTACAATCAGTTCACTTCCAGAGATGCACAGAGCAAGCTATAATCTCAAAGCAGCAGCATTAAACAGGCTTTACGTCTCTCCATTGCCTTCAACATTTGCTCCTGAAATGGGATTTCAAATGTCAAGGAGGCAGTAAATAGTACGAAATTCAAACTTTCAGTTAGACCAGAATTCAATGCATGTTGAGACAGGGCTCCAGAGAAATAAACATCTTAAGTATTTGGCAAGAACATTAACCCATACCTCAATTGACTGATGCCATTTTCATGTGCATTTTAAAAAAATGCCTGAAGTACTGACAGATGCTGACGTCCCCTTCTGAAACCGAAAGCCTTGTTTTGAACCTTGTTTGTTTTTTGCAAACTGTTGCAATTCTAGGGACCATAAAACTCGAGGTGTTAAATATAAAATTCCAGACTCCCCAAAGGACTTAAGGTGACTGAGTGTGAAACAATTCCAACACTAGGCTAATGTCCAATTTGCCAAACACTGTCGCATAGCAACTCACCTCTAAATAAATGCATGTTTCTTTTCTGAACAGATATTTGTATACATATCAAACTCCTTAAGACTAAAATTTACAGAATCATTATAATTTCTCCCTAAATACTGCCCTTAAAAGCCTAGCTCATCATCACTGTTAATTAGAGAGAATTGTGCACTCTCCTACTTGGCCTTTTTGTGTAGAATATAATTGCTGAATATAAAACAATAATAAATAAATAATAAGGGTGTAATTTATCCATACTCATGATTATTTTACCATGAACACTTCCAGATAAAATAAGTTTCTTTAAATAATGCCTTTAATTCAAATTTTTTTGGCAACACAATATCCTGGAGGGTTAATGGTAAACCGCCACATTATTTAGTTTAAAGACTAAACAGACATATGGCACAGATATCTAATTGCACAAACCACGGTAGATTATCGGATAAAACTATGAAACCGCAATAAAAGTAACTCAGATTGTTTTTAATGCCACATATAATCCTACTTCAATTAGGGATTGTCAGAGATTATAGAAAGGAGAGGCATTTACATACACACTGTGGTTACAAGACATTTGCAAAGTTATTTGTGAAGTCACAGTAAGCAGTAATAAAAACTGCTTGCTGTTGTTCCATGCGTGCCATAAAATCAGTTGCATTGCTGGAATCTAAGAAAAATCTCTTTATAGGCTTATGAGTTTGCTATTTTTTTTTTGTGCTATTGCATTTTATATTCTGTCTTTCCATCTCCCACAATACCTTTTCCCCCAATTTATTAGTCTTAAAACTACAAAAACCTCAGCTATAGTCCATTTCATTTCAGCTCAGTCTTGTTTTCATTAAAACACTGACTGTCATAATGTCACCAAAGTCAATATGCCCATGAGTTTTACTGCTATAACATGGCACACAATCAACACAGATCCTGATTCCAGGCCCAAACCATCAAACCATTTTAATGTCTCTGACTGAAATAAGCAGTGGACACAGACTCGGCTCAAGTGTCAACAGTGTTGTATACAGAGTGCCATTCATTATCAGTCAAATTAGTTTCAGAGCCTTTAACTATAATGATTTACATTGGAAGTAACATTTACAGCAGCATTACATCCACACTATTTAATCAATTTGCATTCCAAAAATACTAAATAATATAGTTTTACTGTAGGTTTTAGTTCTGCACAAACAAAATGATGCATCAGAGCTGCCATTTTCATAAACCTGAGCCTGCATCTTGTTTCTTGTTGACTGTGCATAAGTACCAAAGCGTGACAGAACTTCAGTGCGTTTCCAGTATCAAGGCAGCTATAGTTGTTTAAAGGTATGCAGGAAAGACAAGACCAGTGAAAATGCAATATGGAATTATTGTGACACCATTGCTGAATGCTTTAAATAAATATATAATTCTATGATTCTATGTAAATCAAGAGGACATTTTTCAGACTTTAATCTTACTTAAAAAAAAAAAAGAATAATCTGCAGATTATTGGAGAGAAGAAAAAATAAGAAAAATTCACAAGTGTAAAAGTCAGCACTGATTACTGTTCGGCTGAAATCTCATTTAAATGTCAAACAGCACTACGTCATGCTGTCATGAGGTAAATATCACCTGTACCTGCTAATCTCAGAGAGGCTGAGTTGTAGATGGCATCGTCCCGTAGCTCTCTCGCATTCACCTTAACACTAGAGACGGTATCCGGCCACAGCCCATCTGACACTCGAACCTGAAAGTCATAACTCCCAGGAGGAGCGTTCTCCTTTAGGATGAGGAACCCTGTCCTCTTGTTCAGGATAAAATAACTGCAGGTAGAAAATTGGATTAAAGTATTAAAATATTGATTGTCTGACTGGACACATACACACACATCGCAAAAACCAACAGCCAATAAATAAACAATAAAAAGCAAAAGTGTAAATCTAACAGGTCAACGAACACACAATTCAGTGTCATTTGAAATGTGGCTAGAGTGAATGCACTTCAATAAATGGTTAGTGGAAGCTAAGAGATGATTTAGATGGTGAGTCCTTGGGTTGCGAGTGTTTCCTTTTCTAGCATATTGCAACAAATTGTGAACAGCAGATGAATGGCACTGAAATATAGATTTCACTGACCTAAAAATATAAGCTAGTCTGAAACCAACAACTTCCCAAAACTGAAAAGAACAATTTATAGGTCAACTTCTGACCTCAGCTTCAAATAAATATTTACACTTAAGCTTGCTGAATGTACACATGCACAGAAAATCTATAGAAAGGATGAAAGAAAACAAATTCCAGTTACAAGCTAAAACATATTTCAATGAATTAATTCATTTTTGTTTCCAAATGGAGTAAACATTTTAATCTATATTCTCTTTTTAATCTTTCTCAAAGACATGAGTGTTCTCACCGTGTACTGAAGATTCTGAGAGAGCAAGAGCACAGGTGTGCTATGTGCTCAAGACATCTAAAAGCTGGCCTCATCTTATCATTGTATACTCCTCTCCAGTAAAGTGTACAACATCAACAGAGAAGAGCAAGAGAGGAAGAGAGATGCTGGGATGTGTGAAAAAAGGGTTTGACATTGTTCTTAGAGATCCCTTGACCCCTTTAAATAACACAAAGAGTGCAGGAAAAATGCGGTGCTGGGAGACGTGTATAAACATGCTAACCATGTGGAGGGGATGATGCAACGATGTGGACAGAAAGGAAAAGGATGTAGAAAGAAAGAGGAGTAGAGAAGAAAAAGAAGGTCTCACTTAGGAACAGGTCCCTCGAAGGCATATGTCTTGTTATCCCAGTCATCTGGATCTGGTGAGTAAACCTTCCCCAGTACATTGGTTGGCATTCTCCCTGTCATAAAAAAAAAAAAAAGCATTCAGCACAGTCCGCAGATATATGTCTACTGACAACTGTAAGCTGATGCTGTCTGCATTACAGTTCCAAATCAATTATTCTGTTTTTTTTTTCAGTTCTTTCAAAGGCCCTAATAGCCTACAACAGCAAATTAATCAAAACCCACAGACACTGATCAAACAAAGAATTGTGACAAACAATAAGATAAAAATGACAAACAATTTTCATGTTTTTTCACTAAATTACCTTTTATTATTTATGGAAATCATGCTTTCTTTCTCCTGCTCTTTCTGCACAGACACATACTGTACAGGCACACAGACAGAAACATATATGCACGCGGAAACTTGTTGCCAGTGCTGCCCTGCAATTTACTTTTTCAATAAAATAGTTTCACAACTGAAAAGCTACATGACATCTCTCCATAGCAAGGTAGTAAGGTTGATGTTTTTGAAGCAGGTAAACTTACAGCTTACAGCTGTTAAACTCTCTCTTTATCTTATAATCACATCCAGTATCAATGACTCAAGCCCCCGTTACTAACCCTAAAATTTTGGAATTATCAGCGGGGACTCAACCTATCAACCTTGGGATGGGATTTATAAGAAATTATTTCTACACAAAAGAGTGTTTTAAGGCCAAAAAGAAAAATAACACCTCTGAACAATGTTTGGAGGTATGGTAACAATGGCATAAGCAGGATAATCGGTAGCTGCTGAATAAATGATAAAAAATGATGCACACCCGAGGTAACAACCACGATGCAAAGCAGGTGTGAATTATGGCTAGTCATCAAATATTCCATACCTTGAAGGGTAACTGAGCTGATTTGATTTATTTATAGTAAGTGGGGGCGCAATGGCCTGGGCCCGGGCTACTTTTGAGGTCTGGTACAAATATGACATACAAAAATATATTGGCTACAGATCTACAGCTATTCTCAATCCTTAAGGAATAACGTGAGGCTTGCAGTAGAATAGACAAAGCTACAATATACTCTACCATTCAAAAGTTTGAAGTAAGTCTTTTTTTTTTTGTAATTAATAAATAATAATTTTATGCAGCAATGATGGATTAAACTTTTGTTACCAAAAAAAAAACAAAAAAAAAACTTTCAAATAAATGCTGTTCTTTTTCTATTCACGAGAAAATCCTGAAAGAAATGTATCACATTTTCCACAAAAATATTAAGCAACAGAACTGTTTTCATTTTCAACATTGATAATAATAATATTTTTTTTTCCTTGAGCATCAAATCAGCATATTACAATGGTTTCTTAAAAATCAAGTGACACTGAAGACTGGAGTAAATTCAGGACTGAAAATTCAGCTTTGCCATTATGGAATAAATTACATTCAATTCCATTAATTACAAATAAAATATAATAAAATATAAAACAGTTATTTTAAAATGTAATAAAATGTTCTCAATATTATATTGTTACATTATTTTAATCAATCAAATAAATGCAGCCTTGGTGAGTATAAGAGACTTCTTTAAAAAAACATTAAAAAAAGCTTACTGACCCCAATTTTTTGAATGGTAGTGTATTAAACATGCATATAAACCAGGAAAATAAATAAATAATTTATGCACACCATTTTAATATAACCATCTCCTGTGTTGTTTCTCTATCATACCGCATAACTTTGAATAAACAACCTGCTTTTTGAAGATTTATTATATTTATGATAATTATCAGGGAAATAAAATAACATTACAAATGCCTTGGTTTATACAAACAATCATAAACAATTAAAATAAATGAAGAAACTACTGATTTAACAGATAAACTCACACGCCAAATATTACAATCAATTTAAATGAAATTTTATCAGCCCATTTAATTAAGCGTAATTTAACCATTACTGACCCTTTTATCTGCTAGTACATATTTATATTGTTGAAGCCATTACCTCTGTGACAGTTGATGAACACTTTCTTCTGTCCAGCTATATGGGCGTGGTCATTCTCGTCACCGATGGTGATAGTGAGTGTGTTCGTGACGGTCTTTGGTGGACTGCCTCTATCGGTCATGATGACAGGTAGTAGAAACTCTTTTTGTCTTTCCCTGTCGAAGGCTCTCAGGGCGGTGATGGTGGCAGTGTCATTCCCATTATCCTGCAGGTGGAAATCATTGCTGTAACGATACTCCAGAGGCACAGAGAAGGAAAAGGGTGAGCCATTCTCCTCTGAATCTCGGTCCACAGCTTTCAGTAATGTGGAGCTCTGGTTAAGCCGCACAACCTGTGGGCCCAAAACATTCTCCCACACTATTGGTGCATATGCAGCCTCAAACTCAGGGCCGTTGTCGTTGACATCCAGCAGAGCCATCTGGATAGTTGCGGTGCCAGTCAACGGTGGCGTACCGTGGTCTGTCGCAAGTATAACCAAATGATGCAGTGCAACCTTTTCCCTGTCCAGCTCACTAGCCACAGTGACCAACCCTGACTGGTCCACAGAAAACAGATGGTACAGATCAGACTCTGAAGCAATGCTATAAGTGATCTCACGATTGAACCCTGAGTCCAAATCACTGGCAGCCACACTCGCCACGCTAGTTCCTGGAGCGACATCCTCTCGTACGGCTGGAAGCTGTATAAAGTGAGGAATGAAGACCGGCACGTGGTCGTTGCAGTCTTCGATCTCAAGAGTGCAGTGCAGCAGGCTGGAGTACTGCATATCTTCCACTTTTATGGTGAGGTTGAAGCGTTGCTCACCTGGTCTTTCGTAATCCAGATGCTTCTTGAGACGAAGGGTCCCGCGTTGCTCCTGTCGATGACTCACCATGTAAAACTTCTGTTCGGGATCACCGGCCACCACACTGAAGGTCAGCTGGCCATTCTCTCCAGCATCCGCATCCTCTGCGGCAAGCTCTATGATCGGCGTGTTGGGCTCACTGCTCTCAGGGATGCGTATGGAGCACGTGCGGTCCAGGAAACGTGGGACGTGGTCATTGACGTCCGTCACGTGTATAGTCGCGGTAGCCGTTCCTATCATACCTCCACCATCTCGTGCTTCAACCACCAAGACGTACGAATCAGTCTGTTCCCTGTCCAGGCCAGACATTGCCACTGAAACAGCCCCAGTAGCGGGATTGATGCTGAACACATCTGCTCCGCTGTTAGCTCCATTTAGGGCAGCGTTACCCACAATTCTATAGGCCAGCATTGCATTTTGTCCGACAGCCGCATCATCTAGATCAGTGGCTGTCATCTCCATGACGGAAGTGCCAGGTGGGGAGTTCTCAGATACGTCACCATGGCAACTGTCTGGAGCACAAGCAAAAATAGGAGCGTTGTCGTTAATGTCCCATACGTTGATAATGACATCGGTGAAACCCGTTAGTCCCTCGCCACCCTCATCCGTGGCCAGGACCACAAAACGCCACACTGCCCGGGCCTCACGGTCTAATGTTCTCTGAGCATATATCCTCCCTGTGACCTCGTCAATGATGAACTCGCTCTCAGCACCTTGACCATGAAGGGAATATCTCAAAGCCTCCTGGTCAGCATCGTTATCTGGGTCAGATGCTGTTACCTACAAAATCAAAGAGAATATATTAAAACTCCAGTCTGCAACCTCTAACATAAGATCTAATAATCTATCCATCCATCCAACCTTCAATTCGTCCATCCACCCATCCATCTGTCCGCCTATCTGTTAATCTGCTGTATCTATCGGTACATCCATTCGATAGATATAGCAAAAAATAAAAATAAATAAATAAAAATACTAAATAAATAAAAATAGAAAGAATGAAACAAAAACTGAACTCAAAACTAATTCTTGACTAAGAAAATTAAAAAGTTAGGAAATAAGATTATCTCCACCAACTTTTGTATAAAAAATAAAAAATAAACATTGAGATTGAAAATGAGCCTCTCACATCTTTGGACAAATAAAGTGATGTCACTCGCTGCAAATTCAGACTTTTAATAATTAACTTTTTTTTAGACTTTAATAATTATGCATGAACCTCTAGAGACTCGTTCAAAATGTTGAATGCATTCAACAGAACAAATCAATCACAGTTTTCACTATAATTAAGAAACACAAACTACCCTGGCAATTTCCAATGAATTGTTGTATTATTCAGTTTCAAAAACCTATTAATGGAAGAATGATGTGGTAAATCACACATCCATGACCTCTTTTTGTTTCATTTAGAGCAACTCCTAACAGTTTCTTTCTTTCTTTTTTAAATTAAGGAATATGGGCCACAAAAAGTTACTATTTTAAAATAACAAATACATGATCTGAAAAATTGAACAGAGCTGATATGTACAATAAAGAGAATCTAAAGGCAGTACCTTCAACACAAAGACAGGAGAACCGTCCATCTCCTCTGTCACACTACCGTAGTACTCGTTCACAGAGAACACAGGTGCCTCATCGTTCTTATTCACAATAGTCACTATTACAGTAGCGTAATCTTCCCACTTCCCATCGGAGGCCAAGACGTGCAGCTTATAGAGCTTGTTCTGTTCATAGTCCAATGGCTGGGCAATGAAGATGGTTCCCACCTCGGGCTCCATGTCAAAAACACCTCCCACATTGCCTGATGTAATTTGGTAGCGCAACTTGGCGTTAGCACCTGAAGAATAAGAGCAGTTAATGAAAACAAAGAAAACTTCCTCCTCTGTCTTGAATTAATTCTTAAGAGGAACAAAGAGGAAAGCAAAGACCTACACTGACACTGATATAAAGGCTACTGAACAAAAGGCTAAAAGTCAGAAACTTCTAAAAGTGGAAAAATTTGCAAAAAAAAAAAAAAAATGTATCTATTTAAAATACGATAACAAGCTTTTTGCTGCAGGTGAACAATAAACTGCTTCAATGGCCTTTAGAGGTTATTGTTAAGATTAGCCTTGGAAACTTGCCACCATGGAAACATAGACCAATAAACTTCAAATTAGGTGAAGATAAGACTAAATGAAAAATTCTATTCATTTTCTAAACATTTTTAACAATGGTCCATGAAAACATTCACTTATTTCTGATTACTCCTGCACTAAAACTTTGCTTTGTACTTTTGCATAGCTCTTGTCAGACATTCAATCAAAGGTCCATTCAGCTGTCTCTTCTGAAGCACCCAATGTTCAAACTCAAAAGAAAACAGTGCTCAAGACTCATGTATCTTAAATGTATCTTTTTTTTAATTCTGTCAATGCCACAACCCACCCCCATTCTGTGCATTTGTGCATGCCACTCAGATTTAATTTATTTCTGAATGAAATCATTGACAGTTTAGTTTGATTTAGCAGAAGAAAGGTAAAAAAGTGGACTCAATCCAAATCTCTTTGACTTTCATCTGCAAAACACAAAATAGGTTTTGAAGAAAGTAGGGGTCTAAAAAACAAGATTCAAAATATATTATTTTGTGTTTCACAGAGGTAATAAAGTCATATAGGTTTGTAATGAAGTGAGGGGGAGTAAATGATCATTTTCATTATATAACGATACATCTTACATATTTAAAGAGGGTGTTTTTATTATTATTATTTTTTTCTTTGAGACACTTTGGTTGCTATGAGATGAAATATCCACTGAAGTAATGTGGTAGTTACATCGCAAATTAATTGTTTCTCAATATTGGTGTTAGTCCAGGAATTTCATCTGGTACAGACATGAATACTCATGATATTATTATTTTTACAAGCATTTTAACTTCTCCTCCATTGTTGTTCAGTCATAGTAGAAGTAGGATGTGACATTGGTTGGTGTGGTATTTGTCCTGCCTCTCCTCCACTGTGACTGGACGGCTAGATAAAAAGTGACAGTGATGCATTTTACTCAACGCTGAACATTTTTCAACTCTCAGTAGCAAGAATAAAATGCACAGTGTAAAATAGACACTCAGCGCCTCATCACGCATCTGCCGTTTTTGAAAATATGAAGCGCTTCCACCAAAAACATTTGAAAAATATGCTAGCCTCACAAGAAAAAAAATGCTTTGGTGGACACACGGCCTAACACACTATGACAAACTGATTTTATGGTGTTAGATAAAATTGGCTGGCACATTTAATAGGACATGAGAACAATCTCACTAAAAAAAAAAATTGATTTCGGTCACAATCACCTGTGTTGTGAATGTAGCCAATGAGAGCTGCAGTACAGTAGACCACAACCACACTTGAGTATGCAAAAATACTTGTGACCTCACAACACGGCAAACCACATAGTTTTAAGATTGTGTGTTATTTGAATCCAGCTAGTCTGTGATATTTAGGTTCTCTGTTGCTCAAATGTCTTTGTGCTAACTTAATTTGCAGGTCAGAGTTCACCAAACCTGAACTTTGGCACACATTTCATTCATAAGCGAACGGATGTAAGTGAATGGAGCACAAAGTCGAAACCAGCTTAAAAGAAAAGTTATAATAAATGTTTGGATCCCCTGTTGAGCTCTGAAAATTAAACAGTGAAAGATGCAATGCATGTGTTTTGAGCATGCTATTTTATTAAATTCTTTATTACTCTGCTGTTATTTTGTATTTAGGACTAAATCTCTCTGAGGCAGGTAATAAATGCAAAGAGACTTCATATAAACAAATAACCAAGTTAAGCAAACACACTCCTGCTTAACAGTCCTTCAGATCTTGCAGTGTGTTTGGATATCCCTGCTGGTACGAGGTTAATGAATAGGGAACGACACATTAGGAGCCTTATCACCATTTCATCTCCACCATCTCGTGTTGCCTAGGGTACCACCACAAAATTGCATTAGGGAATATTTGGCTTATCTGCATTTTCTGCTTATGCACAGAATCAAGCGCAGCTTCCTTATGCAAGTACAGATGTACAGATGTTTCCTGTGGCTCTGCTCCAGTGGCTGCGAGGGTTAAGTCAGAGCTGCAGAGAAAGCTAAAATCCATTCATCAGGGTAAAGTTTCAGGCTCAGGGAATGTCCAGCCACTCCAGGCTGTATTATGATGAATGACTGATACAAGAATTCCCTTCCTCGCTCCGGCATCTAATCGTGGATTCAACTGGACCACAGGGAATTAGACGCTTCAGTAGTGCATCTATATACCAAGACAGGCTGGCTGATGAGTTATGTAGACTATCCTCTTTGTGCGTGTTTCTGGAGTGTGTGATAAAACAAAAATATTAGCCAAGGCTTTTGCATGGCAATGTACGAGGCTGGTTATCTTGGGAGCAGCATTTGTTATGTTCTCAGGGTATATTGATGAGGAACCAACTGTCTCTGTCTCTCATTCACGAGTGGTACAGATGTTATTGCATGGAGCAGAAGAATATGAGAGCAATAGCCTGGAGACAAACTCAAACTCATGGGAACATGTTCTAACTGTGTTTCATTAATATCGCTGTGTGCTAGCCAAGCCCTGTGAGAGGTTTATGCCCTAATGTAATCCAACTGCAGTAACACTGTAAATATTGAAAGAATATTTCCCTTTTTATTTGATCTTCCTTTTTTCCATATTTTTAAAATTCTAAATTAATCTTTAAATATAAAATGAAATATATAATAAAAATGTACAATTTTACCTCATAATTAATTATGTTGTTGATTTTTGTCTTCTTCATAAATTAATTATTCTACATTTCCTTTAGAACTTGTAGAAAATATATCAAGTGTTGAAGATCACACCTGAGCTGTGATGTCAGGTTCTCAAATCTACGACCCTCATTTTCACCCCTAGTCAACACTCCATATTTCCCACTTCCGTCTTACAAATGAGCATATTGTTCTACCCATCATCCAATGCCCCTCCTCATCTTCACCTACCTTCATCTTCATCATTAGCGCTGACTGTGAGAATGGTGGAGCCCACGTCAGCATCCTCATCCACGTCGACTTCATACACAGACTGCGCAAACACCGGCTTGTTATCGTTCACGTCACTGATGAAAATACGCACATACGCAGTATCTGACAAGAGTAGAAACACACAAGATCAGCAATTTGTGTTCAGACACTACTCTTATCTTTACTTCCCTTTTCTCGTCTTTCTTACATTCGAGTGTTTGCCTATTTCCCACTTATCTTTCTCTCACTCTCTCCTCCCTCCCATCTTTGTAAATATCTGACATTTCCAATCCCATCAAATTCCTGTGTCTTCTGTTTGTCGCATTCATTTTCTGACCATCTTCATCTCTCCATCTTCTTCTCATGCGTGTGGCTCTACGTCGTGTCTGAAGTCATTAGGTGATGTGAAGAACCCTGGGAGTTGTGTGTTTACTGAGTGCAAGCAAGTGAAATTTGTGATGCTTGCCCCATTTAAATGAGCTCTATGTGATATAATTATCAGTAGACACATCAATTACAATCTGCTGCTTAAGATAAGAGCAATTATTAAAGTTCACCCAAAAATGAAAGACAGAGGCTATTTGCACGCAGCGTAAATAGTGTTATGCTATTTATACTTCGTGCAGATAGTGGCAGATACCTTTCACACTTCAGTGTATTGTAGTACAATATAAAAACTGTGCAATAATAATAATAACAAATTCAGTGTGTGTATATATATATAAAATATATGTGCCATAAATATTTTATTTATATATAAATATGGCTGCCATATTGGGACCTTACTTGTTTCTTAATCCCTAAATCCCAACCCCTTAACCGTTTTAAACCTCCAATAAAGGTGAGGACACCTCATCCTATTTCAATGAAAGGCCTATTAAATTATACAACACACTTTAATTCCAATAATAAATACCTTTTGGGCTTTATTTCACTTTATTTCTACTTTTTAAATATTTTATTAATTTTTATTTCAAAATAAATGCCTCTCCGAGCTGATATGTGACTGGAACAAGAAGAATGGAATCAGAAAAAAGCAGATTCAAACTTGGGTTGGTTGCATCAAAATCACTTACCCTCATGTTGTTGTCGTTCCAAAACGTTATAACATTCTTTCTTCAGTGGAACATATAAGACATTTTGAAGAATACTGGTCACCAAAAAGGTTTGGTAACCACTGAGAAGAGAGAATCTCTCAATATATATATTTTATGTTCCACTGAAGAAAGTCATACAGGTTTAGAATGACAGGAGACATTTCATTTTTATGTGAACTATCCCTTTAAAGCAAAAACAAATCTTACGCTACTTTAACAATCAAACATGCCGTGACCTTTTCAGAGCCTTCAGTTCAGTCAGGGCTGTGAGAGGCAGATATACTCTGATTCGAGTCTTGATCCTGCTCTCTTTCTGACATGTTATGTTGTGTAAAAAGAGCACAGCATACGCTTAGCTGCCACTCTTTGACAGGTCGGCATGTTGTTCAGAGCCCCGCCATGAAGGCACAAATGCAGAGGCCCAACTCTGTTGTGTGATTTTCTGCTCAAAGAGCACTTGTGTTGTTTTGTTTCCTTGTCATATTGACATTTTGACAGCATCTTAGTACAATTAGCATTCACATGTTTCTGAGTAATTATGCGTGTGTACATGTGACTCTCCGCTAATCAACACTCTGTCTCCTGTGTGCTCGACCATATTTGACACTGCCGTGTTGTCAATTTGATAATCTACATTTGTGTATTTCACTACAGTTGTAATTGTGTTGGAGTGCACGACTTCTCCTCTATTTGGAATGCAGGGCAAACGGTGAGCAGACAGACAGCACGGGAGGACAGAGAGAATTGGAGCAGATTCATTTCTTTCTCAGACTGTCCCTGCTGCTCCCTGATATTTCCCCCTCTCCTTTGGCACCTTCATCAACATTTAAACCAGCAACTTTTATCTAGCTGACTTCAAGTGTTAGTGGGTTATTTAGGCAAAGCAAAGGCAAAAGAGACTGTTAATATTCCACACAATGAATGAAAAATACATTTGTGTGAGATTCTGGCTAGCCCTGTGGTCTAACAAATCCAATCAAACTGTCACGCTGTCTATATTAAACAAGGATTATGCAATGTAATATTTTATGCAGCTAATGGAAATATTCCCCTGAACTTCAGATCCTCTTTAGCTCTGTATTGTGAAGTCCCACAACCCCACTGGCTATGTTCAAACAGTCAGTGTTTGTGACTGACAGCTGTAATTACTAACTTGTATGAATCTTGAATAAATTCTCGTTTTATTAATAGCATCAGTGACCCTAGTGACAGGGACAAACACATGCATTAAATATGGTCTGCATGATTCCTGAATATTTAAGAGAGGCATTTTGGTTTTAAAATGGGTTATATAGTGGAAGTCGTAACCAAAATGTGTGTGAATTAAATTGTATTTATAGCAGTCTAATACCGACTGCAAGTGTCATATTGCTTTTATACAACAGTTCAATAAAGTTGTTATTGAATAACTTTCTTTCCAGACACAATTGTCAGCAGTGAAATTTACTTTCCATTAAGAAGAGATATTTGCCCCCTTAAACTGATTTCAAGGAGTGTATTATAAGTATACACTGTCTTTTATGTCAAATTCTTACATTTTATTAAATTTAGTTTAAAAACTATAATGCTGTTACCAATCAAATGAAATCAGTGCCAACAAAATCCATCTTTGGACTGCAGATGTGGCTCAGAAGCTGCATCTGAAGTGGCATTTAGATGTAGTTGCACAGTAAATAATGTCATGAGATTAATGTTTTTGAATACACTTTAATCTCATGACATTATGAACTGCTTTAATTTAAGTAAAAAAAAATGTTCAGAGTGCAAACCAATCTTGAGTGCAATCAAACCAATGAGTGAGAGATTCAGTCATTCACTGAATCAAATCATTCAAGTGGCTGATTAATTCAGGAACCAAGCAAGTGGATGTCTTTATAAAGGGTCATTGATTCACTGATCTGCCTAATTCATTCAAAAATCCAGTGGTGTTTTGTTCATAGAGGTGCAACAGTTTTGTTGTGGCTTTGTTTTGATTTATTTTCATTGGTGAAACTGTCTGAAAAGTAAGTCACTTAATATTAACATCTTGTGTATTGGACTGTGGTATAAAATCATTATCATATCAGCACTTGTGATACTATTCGGGAAAAACAGCTTACATTGATATTGCTTAACTATATGATATGTAATAAATATAAAGACAAGAACCCATACAGGGGCACTTTCTGCTCCCCATCTCAAAATTAGGGGCATTTTTCAGTCATTTTAGTGGTATTTTTGACCCACACTCCCATTAACTTCCAACCCTGATTGTCAGTTACTTTGTGTATTTATGCACCACACACAGTAGTAGCATTCCTGAATAAAAGTATTTTTGAATTAATTAGTTCAATGAATGATTCATTGACTGAACTGTGGCCATCTATTGATTTACAAGCACGTAACAATGTTACAAACAGAAATCCAGTCCCGGTGATTTTGGACTGTATATCAGAATGGGAAGTAACTGTTGTATAATGTATAATAAGTGTGAATAGTTTCCCTATTTTCATATTAGCTTTAACCATTTACTGTAACTCTGCCACATACGGCTCGCTGTACCTGAGTTAGGCTGTCCATGCTTCCCTGGCCTGGCTGATTCCCAGCCATCTACTGACTTCACTTCCAAAAGGTAAGATCCCTTGGTCTCTCGATCAAACACAGCCTCTGTGTAGATGGTGCCCAGCTCAGGATCAATGCGGAAGTACTGATAGTCTCCACTACGGTCATTCAGTAGGGAGTATGAGATCTGAGACACAACAAAAAAGAAATTGGCAAAAATAAATGAAATACAGAGGAGAAATAGTGCCAAACCTGTCACAGAACAGTTAACAGGGTTGTGTGAAAAATGTATTAAAGTCACCATGAAATCAAAATTGAAAATATTAATTTTTTAATGGAATACTGTAGTGTTTATTATAAATAATTTATCCGTGCATTTCATTATTTTTTTTAAATTCATGTGCCCTCGTAATCTTTAATCAAAAACGTTAACCTCCCCTCCCCCTCAAAACGACTCATCTTCTCTTCCGGTCACGAGCTATGGCGCAAGGGCGGAGCTAGTGACGTGAGGGGTAAATGCTGGGATAAACAACAGGGGGAAAAGCTGAAGCTGATGCTTCAATTTATAGCACTGACACCAGTCATGAGGGAGTACGTTACCCCTAAACATTGAAAAGATATTAGGATATTACGACAACATTACTCTTAGGACATCGCAAACTAATTTTTTTCATGAATATGACTTAACCTGATGGAGGACGCGCTCAGTCATTCAGACATCTCTCTCTCTTTCTCTCTCTCGCGCGCTGTTTAGGCATGTTTTGTGCCGTTGACCGTCGTCGTCATCTTTAATAGATAAAACATTTATTCATGGTTGGGTGTCGGCTGTGAATCCAGAGAGAAATCCCCCACCACTAACTGCAAACTGGCATTCAGATCTGCCTCCATTTTGTTAGCAATGCCCCAGCTTCCAACGATCCAATCAATTCCCGAAGGACGAAATCAAGTCCCGCCCTCTCATTTCAGATGCCGTTTCACTCGGATATATGTCACAGTAGAGAAGAAAAGACAATCGCAACTTCCGTATCATGCCGACTTTAACAATTAATACTGGTCTTCCTGTGTACATGTTACTGCCTATGTGCATGTATATGTGTGTTTAACGCTATTCCGCCTCATCTAACCACATGTAATTAAACAATCCAGCCTTTTCCTCATAATTTATTCACAAATCGGTCTGACCTGAAGTTGAGACCTCCTGTTGTGTGTTTTGTCAGTAATGCCTGTAATGCATATTGGCAATTTCCCAGCAGGTAAAGCAGAAATCAAGGCCATTCAAGTTAAGAATAATGAAGCTAATCTAGATAGCCAAAACTATTGAATTGAGGAAGAAGTGCCAACTGCTGTTTCAACAAGGCCCAAACAACAATTACCAGACAAGCTGCTCTGAATGGCTGCACTAAACCAGCATGGTGTGAGTATTAAATGATGCCCTGCCGGCCACATTAGAGCCGAGAACACAAGTAAGAGGCTGAATTAAATGTAAAAGGCATAATAAAATGATTGCAGGGGTCAGATTAATAAAACATGCAGCAAACCCCATCTGGCACAAAAGGGGCTGTGTGTGAGGGGGTGTTGTAAGAGAAAATAATGATATTAGCATTCACACCCACAAATGACACTCATTATTGTGCCATTGCATGGCATTTGTAATTCAGAGGACTGCTGAAAGGCACATGTTCGCTATTGGCCAATAGAACGACAGAAACATACTCAAAAGTTTGGAGTCTGCAATATATATATAGTACATTTTTTGTTGTAAATTTATATAGCAAGGATAAAAGCATTGATCAAGTGATAGTACAGACTTTTATAATGTTGCAAAAATATATATTTCAAATAAATGCTGCTGTTTTTGAACTTTCTATTCATCTAAAGGATCCTAAAAATGTATTATAGTTTCCACAAAAACATTAAGTAGCCAAACTTAATGATTTCTGAATGATCATGTGACAAACTGGAATAATGGCTTCGAAAATTCAGCTGTCATCATAAAATAAATGACATTTTAAAACATATTAAACTAACAGATACTTTCTACTATAATAAAATTATAATTTCACAGTATTATTGTTTTACTATATTTTTGATCAAATAAAAGCAGTCTTATTAAGCATAAGAGACTTCTACCAAAACATTTTTAAAATATTTTGAACGGTGGAATGATATATAGAATGACAGACTGCATATCATTCTAATTAAAAATATAAGTGATATGTCTTTGAATGTGTGCAGTACATACATTTATCTACAAAATAATGAAATCTAAGAGCTACAGGGATGTTTGCCTTCCCACTGAAATATGATATAAATACTGCAGAGAAATAGTAGCCAGTGTTCTATCAGAAGAAATGTTTTGGAGGTCATAGTGAGATACAGTATAAAGATAATTTCATTCATCCTCATTTCATACCTTCCCATTCAGTCCCAGGTCAAGATCATTAGCTGACACTTGGAGAACTAGAGTCCCAATTTCCGCCCCTTCAGTCACAGATGCCTCGCATATGGAGGAGGTGAAGAATGGAACATTGTCATTGACATCTGTCAACAGCAGACAGTCAAACGGTCAAACTTGACAAACAATTTGTATAATATTTTCATCAGTTTTCTTTGGTTGGTGCAAAAGGAAAGACTTTCAGTTGGCTTTATTGTAAATCTGTTACACACTGATATTGGGCTCCCTGTCATTCTAAGAAAATGAATAATGTGGCCTTGGTGCACAGAACATATGTACTTACAGTTTTAACAAGAACTTACTCATGTGAATCAATATTTAAGCATTGTTTACAGCATTAATGCATCAGTTTGACCTCTTTATGTGGAGTTTCAGCCACCTGACTATGAAGAAGCAGAAATATCCATGGTTGATTGAGGGAAGTTAAAACGCACTGGTTACTAATGTATCATTGGTTTCCTGAGATAAGGGAAGGAGCGTTGTGTCGCTGACACTTATGGGGAAACTCCTGTTCACTCTGATACTGAAGCCTGATTTGTTCACGTTCGTGTAACTGCATGAAACAATGGCACTTCAACCCACCAAATGGGGAGGAGCTGAACGCTATACAAGTCGGCTCTGAGTGCCATTTCATCAGAATCTTTCAACTGAAGTGACAGTCATTGATTTGCGTGCAGCCTTATAGCACGGCAGCCTACACAATACTCACTCCCTTATCTCAGGGAACCGAGGTTACGTTAGTAACTGGAGCGTTTCCCTTTCGAACTGTCTCTCCTGTTGCGTCGCTGATGCTTATGGGGAGCTCATCCAATAGCTCCTTGCTTTAAGCAAGTGCAGAACGAAGCCGCTCTGCGAGCCCAGCCCCGGATCACCCGTACTGAGGGCTGCTGTAAGCATGAGCCAATAATGAGACCCAAGCCACTTAGTATGAGGGCTATATAGCATAACCCTCTCCACTTACAAGTCAAGTCAAGTCACCTTTATTTATATAGCGCTTTTAACAATACAGATTGTCAAAGCAACTGTACAGCATTAATTAGGAAAATAGTGTGTCATTAATGCAAAATTACAATGGTATACACTCAATTTTCAGTTAAAGCTGCAGTCCGTAAGTTTTGCCTCTTTGCCGCCATCTCTGTGGGAAAACCTGCAATTGCAGCTGTGTTTGGAATTGTATTCCATGCGTGGGGTTGTGCTCCAGCGCGGATTAATCTAATGTTTTGAGGTGAATGTGTGGCAGTCAGTCACGGCGCCGGTGTGGATATTTACTGTACTTCACAATCACATGATTTCAGTTTCTGTACAGTCTAATCTCTAATTGTCATACCATTAGAATTTCATATTAAGAAATTCATATAAGAAATTATTTTTACCCAAAAAGCTAATTATGCTCCCTGGTTGCTACAGACGTGACGTAATGCAAGTAAGGCAGCATGCTTGAATTTCCCACGAAAACCTACCCGTACCACTCAAATTAGAAAACATTATTATAAGCTTACCGTTGTGAATCGGACTAAACTAAGGCGATAGTTTTGAACATTGGTTGGTCATGTACTTGCTCAAATATTGATTTCGGATCATTTTTAACCAAAAAAAAGTTACGGACTGCAGCTTTAAAGGCAGTTCATCATTGAATTCAGTGATGTCATCATCCAGCTCAGTTCAATTTAATTAGTATCTGTGCAATCCTCCTCTGGCCAGACTAAACCAGCAGTTCAAATCCAGGCTGCAGCAAAGTCACATTGAGCAGAGGACTCAACTGGTTCCTGTGGTCTTTGCCGGTGGCCGTCTAGGAGACAAGGTCTTTACTGGGGATCTGTCTCTGGGGCTCATCTAGTTGTCCTGGTCTCCGCTGACATTCATGGCTGTCGAGGTCATCTCTAGGTCCTGATCCACCATCTGGGCTGGATACGTACTGGATCCGGATGACTGCAGTGACCATTTGATCTGGATACAGACTGGATCTAGTGGCTACGGTGACCTCGGAATAAGAAAAAAACGCAGTGACCATTTGATCTGGATACAGACTGGATCTAGTGGCTACGTTGACCTCGGAATAAGAAAAAAACAAAGGGAATTAGGTAGAATTATGGGGACAAGATCCGTGCCTGCAAGGCAGGGACGTCCAAGTTATAAAATCTAGTGAAGGTAGATGGGGACTACCAGCCGGCGGCCGCACAAATATCACCAATAGAAATCCCGCTAGACCATGCCCAGGAGGAGGCCATTCTTCTGATGGAGTGGGCCCTCACACCTATAGGACACTGCAAGCCTACTGAAGTGTATGCCAGGGCTATAGCATTGACTAGGCCCTTTAGAGATCTCCACAGCCTTGGTTAGAACTTGGATCAGCTCACTGCCCACACTGGGCCGTGTTGTCTGCGTCGGAGGCGGGGTTTCAGGCCCTTCGCCGGAACATGCCCACTCTTCAGCATCTGAAGCCGTCAATGACATGGAGTCATCAGATACAGCCTCCTCCTCAGATCTGCCGAAGGAAATCAAGCTGCTCGCAGCCGATGAGGGGCACGGATCCTCACGTGTGACGCACACAGGTGAATCAGGTGCTCTGCTGTTTCTTCCTCCTAGGGAAGAGTGGAAACGGGAGAGCAGAGAGGGGAGGACTGCCTTCATTAAAGAAGGCTACCAACGAGCAGAGATGGGCGAGACTCATGCTCTCACAGTGAGAGCACTTCGTACCGGTGAGCACAGCCTCTGCATGGGTTCCCTGTCCGAGTCACACTTGCAGCGCGACATTTGAAACAACGTCGCTGGAAATTTGCTCAGAAATTTGCTTAAATACACCGGATAGCCACAGGGGAAGGCTTCTGGATTCTTCCGCTGCCGGGGGCTCCTTCTCATGGTGGTGAACTGCAGGCTGAGCTTCTTTCTTCTTCTTCGGCTTCTTGCTTGCAGAGTCAGCGAGGAGATGATCTTCGTCACTGAAGGAGAAAAATTCTGACAAAATGGCACTCTGAGCCGACTTATATAGTCGGCTCCTCCCCTTTTGGTTGGTTGAAGCACCATTGGTTTGTACAGTTACACAAACGTGAACAAATCAGGCTTCAGTATTAGAGTAAACAGGAGTTGCCCCATACGTGTCAGAGACGCAACGGGAGAGACTGTTCGAAAGGAAACTCTGGCTTTCCATCAGAAACAAATCTGACTTATCTTAACTCTGACATTATGTCTTATCTAAACCTTATTACATTAGTGGATTATATGTGTTCAAGAGGAAATTAAGACCAAGCCTACTCTCCTAAAATGTGCTGCTCCCAGAACTAGAAGGGACATGAGGACATTGGAATTTATCACTGGACACTAATCACCATCTGATGTACTTTGAGGTTTTAATTTTCTATCAGCCAAAGCCGTAAACCATGAATTAAACAGGAAGGCCAAATCCATTACGACCTCCTCCATCCAGCAATTCCTCATTTCGCTCTGCCTCTCTCTTCTCCTGCCCCCCTCTCTTTTGAACATGGCACTGGCTGTACTCTTTCATAGAGAAAGAAGCACTGGTGTAAATAAGTCAAAAGCAACAGAACATATTAATTATTTGTCTGTGGCTTACGCTGAACGATAAAGTGTTTCCTATGAAGATATTACCATTCAGATTACAAAACTGATCCTGATAAGGTGCCAGTGTCCTCATACATCTCCCGATGTATTAACATACATCTTTTAAGAATGCAGTACTTAAAAGATGTATGTTAATACATCTGGAGTTGTAGGAGGACTGTTTCTGGAGTTGTAGCCGGTTCAGTATTATGGAGCAGTCATAACTGGGGGAGAGCAAAGGATTCATCCATGAAGAGAGAGCCAGATTAACACTGCAGGGCAAACTCTGTAAATTACAGGGGAAGTACAGAGACTTCCTGCAGTGGAAGAGATGAACACAGAGGAATACTTAAGTAGAGGCGAACCGACAGGGTGGGATGAAATAAAGGCTATTAAAGAGTCGTGGCTACAGGACATATTCCACAATAATCAGAGTTTAAGAGCATGATTGGATTATAAAAAATAATTAACAAGTGTAAGGACAAGGAACAGGAATTCAAACAAGAAATAGATTAAAAGCTGTCATTTTAAATGTGATTAAAGTGTAGATATTAAGACACTTTGATAAGAAATAAGAAAGTGCAGGCAAAAACTATAAATTTAAATGGTTTGTAAACAAGCACCACAGTGACAAGCACAGAACTCTGTTCATTTTAATCAATTCAATCCAACTTCAAATGGTCTAAATTGAATGTTTACATGCATCATATGCTCCAAAATTTGGTGAAAATATCAATTTGTGTCATATGTATTAGATTAACACTGCAGGGCAAACTCTGTAAATTACAGGGGAAGTACAGAGACTTCCTGCAGTGGAAGAGATGAACACAGAGGAATACTTAAGTAGAGGCGAACCGACAGGGTGGGATGAAATAAAGGCTATTAAAGAGTCGTGGCTACAGGACATATTCCACAATAATCAGAGTTTAAGAGCATGATTGGATTATAAAAAATAATTAACAAGTGTAAGGACAAGGAACAGGAATTCAAACAAGAAATAGATTAAAAGCTGTCATTTTAAATGTGATTAAAGTGTAGATATTAAGACACTTTGATAAGAAATAAGAAAGTGCAGGCAAAAACTATAAATTTAAATGGTTTGTAAACAAGCACCACAGTGACAAGCACAGATCTCTGTTCATTTTAATCAATTCAATCCAACTTCAAACGGTCTAAATTGAATGTTTACATGCATCATATGCTCCAAAATTTGGTGAAAATATAAATTTGTGTCATATGTATTCTTAACCTAATCTCTGCACATGCAAAGAGCTGCATTTCATGTTACACTACACTTTGCATCTCATTATAATCAAAATTCTGTATTTATACACTACTGTGCAAAAGTCTTAGGCCATTAGTATTTTAACCAACAAAAATTGTTTTAAGTCAGTTATTTCTATCTTTTGCTGAAGCGTGTCATTATGAAATATCAGTTTACATTTCAAAAAAATTATTTTACCATTAATTGTAGTAATCCAGTTAGATTTTTGTCTGCACAAGGAGTCTGGCAGCAGCCAGTGCTCCACAGAGATCTGATCTCACCATCATCCAGTCCGTCTGGGATTACATGAAGAAACAGAAAACAGACAGACTAAATTCAGATGAACTGTGGCAAGTCTCCCAAGACACTTCAAGAATTCTACCTCCAAAGCTACCTGAAAAACTAGTGCACCCAGGACAAAAGTTGTTTTCAACGCAAAGGTTGGTCACACCAAATGTTGGTTTGATTTAGTTAATAGAAGTTAATTGATAAATACAATCTATTTAAGACATTATTTTTGAAAGCATCCTCACTTTTTTTACACAAGTGCCTAAAACTTTTCACAGTTTTGTATCTTTGCAGGATGGTTTCTTGAAGTATCTTGGAAACGTTGCCACAGTTCTTCTCGATTTAGTCTGTCTCAGTTTTTTCCGTTTCTTCATGTAATCCCAGACAGACTGGATGATGGTGAGATCAGATCTCTGTGTGGAGCACTGGCTGTTGTCAGACTTCTTGTGCATACACAAATCTCACTGCATTATTACAATTAATGGCAAAAGATATGTTTGGAAATGTAAACTGATATTTCATACTGACGCACTACAGCAAAATATAGAAATAACTGACTTAAAAAAAAAATTGTTGGTGAATATACTAGTGGCCAAAGACTTTTGCACAGTACTGTATATGTTTTGACAGTTACATCAAAGCCATGCTGAAATGTTTCAGGCCTGTAATACCTTTATGTAATATCTACCTCATGTCCTTTAAATTATTTGAACTTAGTTTCTAACTACATGCATAGTGTTGTCCTTCACTGTACTGGTTGTGCATACAAGGTACTTTTAACCCTTAAATGCATAAATGTTTCTCCAATCATTATTACATATTCGGGTCTTTAGCGACCCGGACATACAGTATATATCCAGCACGGATAGATCTCTAACTGCTGCAATAGCAAAAAACTCTCTTGATATTTTAAGAACAATTACAGAAGAATAAAATAAAGCATATTTTGCTACCTTTTCAAACTTAAAAGGGTTCAATTTGAGCAGGTAATTTCACCATCGCTGTCATCGTCAGTAGGCTACATCCAGCATCTGCCTCTTATTCGCGATCTCAAATATATTCTCAAAACTATCGTTTTCAATGACTTCTTATTCAATATTTTGATCACTGGCAGCTTATTCACCACATCCAGCATCAAATGGCAGTGACATTTATATTTCATTGCGTATAGTAATTGCTCTGCAGTAAAGCCATTCAAACCAGTTCAATTTTTGCTGATGATATTCGTTTGTTTTATGCCTGCGGTAATTATGAGTGAAACGTCACGTCATCATTGTGTATAATACAGTGTCACCTTGAGGAAAAAAGATGCATTGCACATATTGAGTCATCAGATATGTAAATATAGTTGCACAGGAAAAAATACTTGCACATTTACATACCTCGGGTCTCTAGCGACCCTATACACTTTTTACAAAAAATTAATCAGAAAACATGCAGGCATTCTTTTATATATTACTATTTTTTTCTTGTTATATTGTTTATAATTAATAGATTGAGGAATACTAAGAAAGTTTATGTCTAACTTTAAAAAATGAAGGAGGGAGAGGGTAGAGAATGATGTCCCGGGTCGCTAAAGACCCGAGGTATGCATTTAAGGGTTAAATCTGATCTAAATTCATGAAAGGTTTATATGGAACTCTCTATTTAATGATTTATATAAGATCAGCATCACTTCTTTTCAATTGGACTGAGCTAAATCAACGTTTACATTAAGGTTTTTCATTCTGGTTGAGCTACAGGATCAGTTGGATTATTAGGCTGCACAACAGACTGCACAGACAGGAATACACTGCCAATAGTAAATGTAACTTTTTTTTTTCTCATGACAACCTCTAAACCTGTTTCAGCTGTGCTGAGCCATATGGATATCCTTTACCTGTGATGTTTATGTGAACAATAGTGAAGGCAGCCAAGGGAACAGGAGCCACGTTCTGAGCTCGAACCCTAAGCATGAAGTTGCGGGTCATCTCATAGTCCAAGGGCTCTGAGACAAGTATAGAGGCAGAGCCATCTTCACGATTCGGGGTTAGGTAAAAACGAACAGGCATGTTGCTCTCTGGCACCAATCCATCCTCCAAGTTATAAGTCACCCTCGGGTCGCCCAGCGGAGAGGTGGCCTTGATAGTCTGCAAGGAGGACATTTTTTAACATTCATTTATACACAACCATTCAAAAGTTTGGGGTCAATATGATTTTAATTTAATTTAAATCAATACAATTGTAATTATTTTATACAGCAAGGATCCATTAAATTGATCAAAAGTGATCAGTTTCCTATTGGAAATGTTTCTTGACCACCAAATTGGCATATTAAAATTATATTATTATTAAATGCATCAATGTAGTGCAATATTACTGTTTTTACTGTATTTTTGATCAAATAAATGCAGCCTTGGTGAGCATGAGACTTTTTTTTTTTAAATCTTGCCAACCCCACATTTTCACATATTTAAAGTACTATATAATATATTATTAAAATAATAATACATTTCATTATTATAAAAATATATATATATGATAAGCAATAAGCAAGACACAAGTTGATCATGTTCAACATCAAAGACTTCTCTTTCTGTCCTAAGAGAATTGAGTCTCTGTCTTTAAATATAACATCTGTGAATCTCTGTTAATGGGGCAACTGTAAGGATATCACCACTACAGATCAGATTAAATAAGCTCAATTACTTCCTCTTCCTATACCAACAAGAACACAAACACCATTTAACACAAGATCAATTAGAAGAACAGCAAGAGCTATCTCTGTGCAGTTCTCTATTTTTGTCTTTTTATTTATTTTCCTTTTTTCTGCCCTTTGTTCCTCCTTGCCCTGTTTATTTATGCTGTTCTTCATGAAATGCTCATCTGCATCAATAATGGTCTTAATGGCAATGAATGTATTCCAGGAAATTCTGCAAATGAATGCTTTCAGTGCATTTGTAATCGAATGAAAATGAAAAAAAAAAAAAAAAAGAAATGTCCATAAATTATCCAGTGATTCAGCGATTGGCTGACTTCCTAAATAGTGACTGTAACGAAACAACGTCCTGGAAATTTGAAGCGAAGGATCAGATGATTCATGGCAGGGCTACTGAAATGCTGCTTGAAGTGGGGACTGGAGCTTAGAGAATCTTACAGCATCTTACAATTATTTTAAATGGCATGTGTATGTATGTGTGTGTGTGTGCCTTTGTGTACTTGTGGATTTGTGACAGGCAGTGTGAAAAATCTGTGTGGTCGAGCAGAAAGCACAGACTGTCAGTCGTAACCGCCAGTATGCTACATGACAGTAAAGTCGACAGTGTCTGGGAACTCAAGCCCCTCAAGGAATACCCAGAACCTTATTGTGGGATTAAAACTTATCCACATCCATCATAGCATTCCTTCAATGCACACATGAAAGACATGGTCATTATTAATGCAGTGCCTCACAGGTGTGCTTCAAAGGCCCAAGTAATAAATCACTTAGCAGAAGCTGTATGTCTGTTTTGCCTCTTGGTTTTGGTCCTTCATTCACAGTATATTTAGTATTGGTGAAATCATCATCTTTATGTAATGAATATCTGTGGAACCACTGATAGTCACTGTTTGTTACCCTGTATGACTCTGATTCTGTTATTAAGTGGAGTAAAAAAGCAGGCATAAATCTACATAACTCACATATTTGTAGATCTATAGTTTATAAGTGTTTAGCGTTAGGTTAAGTGCATACCACAACTGGAGTGTCTCTGACAGTGTTTTCAGGTATGACGACCTCATATGTGTCCTTCTCCCACTGTGGAGGCTGGTTCTTCACGTTAGTTATGGTGACTGCCAGCTCGACTGAACTGCTCTGATTCCCTCCATCTGTAGCGATGATCTGCCTGCTGATGTAGGTCCTCTGGAAACAGTCAAACACAATTATCGAGACGTCAAATACAATTTAAGACTATACTTTTTAGGGGTGTGCAGCGAAGCCAGTACTTGTATCTGTATTTGTATCTGTAACAATCACAAAATTATTCGTATCTGTACCTGTATTTGGATAAAACCGGAAGTAGGCAGAGCTTGAACCAGAACTCCGTAGAGTTATATTTGATAAAACCATTATGTTTATGGTTTTACAGCCTATATTTTTCATAGTTATCACTGAACAAATATGCAGTGTTTAACTAACATAATATTTTTTTTATGATTATAACATTTATTTATCTTCTAACAGTCTGAGCTGATTTCCTTGTATAGGCAGTGCTTCGAGATGTAGTGCGGTTGTGCTTCGAGCAACGTGAGTTCGAGGAAATGCATGGAAAAAGGCAGCTGCAACACTGCTATTTTATTTGCGCTTATTTCATTCATAAACTCATTTAGCTACTTCACACACTTGTTACTGCGTTGTAATTTTAGAGGTTTATGTAAAACAACATGTTTTCCGTTGGCTCACAGGTTCCTGCGCAGTTTTAAAAAAGTAACCTATTTCACTTAAGTAATTCCAGGTCTGGAAAACCTATGGAAAAAAAAAAAAAAGGAGTACATAGTATGGAAAAATATTTGTGTTTCGACTATTTGCCCTATTCAGTGTTCTAAAATATAAAATTAATAATTTCTAAAAATAAATTTATCATACAAGTAGGAAGATTTCATGACAAACATTTAGTGATCATTTGAACACGACTGAATGAATTCAAGGAGCACATTTTCGAGTCTTTTTTTAACTTCACTAAACAAATGTGCGTGTGCCGCGCAAACCAGCAAAACATAAGGAGGCAAACATGTAGGCCTAGAAGAAAATGTATCTGTATTTAGGTTGATTATTAGCCTACTCTTGACAGAGAGTTGGTTTGGTTTTTGAGAGACAGAGACGCGCAGAGACGGCAACGCGGCTTTTTGATTGGCGATCGCGCTGTGCTTATTCAATCATTGCCTTTTATATATACACAAATAGTAGAACGTGTATGATGTATCATTTTAGGTAATATAAGGCCTACTCTTGCCAAGCTCTGATTTCTGAGAGATGCACGGAGTGGCAACAGCAATGCGGTGTTTGATTTGCGCTCTTTTCATTCATAAAGTTTACATTCATTCACTTCACACACTCATTATTGCGTGAATTTAGAGGTTTGTGTAAAAATTCATTCGTGTATCATATCGTAGCCTATAAGGTTTAAATCATTCATTGCCTTTTATATATACACAAATAGTAGAACGTGTATGATGTATCATTTTAGGTAATATAAGGCCTACTCTTGCCAAGCTCTGATTTCTAAGAGATGCACGGAGTGGCAACAGCAATGCGGTGTTTGATTTGCGCTCTTTTCATTCATAAAGTTTACATTCATTCACTTCACACACTCATTATTGCGTGAATTTAGAGGTTTGTGTAAAATATCGCGCTGATCCCCTGGCTCACCTGTGAATCTAGCAAACACTAGACTGTGCTGCAGCCTCAGCCGAATATTCGAGCAGAATTATTCGTTATCTGTTATTCATTTTTGAAGCCATTATCCGTGCCTTTCCGAATAAGGTATTCGGCTTCGGGCACACCCCTAATAATTTTATTCAAACCAGAGCCAGGGTGAAATATTTGAATATGAGAAAAGAGGGAAAACAGTTTTACAAAATATTTTAGGGATGTCAAATTTGGCATATTATTTTAAGTTATTAAAACATATATTTTTTACAAAATTAACACACTGGAAGAATTTGATAATATTAATGTTTCAAATAGTGCATAAAACAAAATTGAGATTGCAGTTATTTTATTCTAATTTTTAACAGAATACTAATAAATATGCATACAAAATGCACACACACAATATCATAAATAACTGTAGTTAATATTTTATTAAATTACTATTTCTATGTTACATCTCTCTTTAAAATAGAACACTTACTTTTTACAGTATAAATGTAAAAAAAATACTCTTTTTTTATTTTTTATTTTTAAGAGGCTTGTCCTCCGCAAATAATATATTCATATTTGGGGGTTCTCGGCATCAACAAAATTTAAAATCCCGGCACTACAACACCAAGGATGACCTTTAAATGGAACTGTGTCAAGTGTATCAACACATCTCACTGCAGGTGCCTGTGCTTATCAGCAAAATCACCGAAGCTGTCCGTGTTCACAGCATTCAGCTTCGTATCTGCATGTCGAATGATGCGAAATGACAGCTAAACAATTTTCGCCCACCCTCTGTAATCGCACAAAGAACATATACAAACTCTCAAACATGGACACACAAAGCCTCACCATATACACCAGCCGACACAAGACCTTGGTAGTCATAGCAACAGTTTTACAAAGGTCTCTTGTCAAAGGTGGTCCGATATCAGTGTCTTTCAAACCTAAACACCTACTCACATACAAACAAACACCCCATCAGTAATCACTATTAATGCTTAAACAAGTTTTTTGTACTTCTGTGCGAGGTTATTTCTCTCATCAACTTCACAAAAACAAGCAGAATCTGTAAAAGACCTTGTTACCACCAAATCAATCATCTGAGTGGAGTGCTGTGAGAAACAGTTGTGGACCTGCTAAATCATTCACACTGCAGCGTCTTAAAACTTCACACAAGAACTATGCAATATTCATGTTGCAAATGCAATTTTCACACCTCGAACTCCTGCCCTCTATGAGGGATTAATGATGAATCATTCTGTTGGAAACTATTCCTGAGAAAGTTCAAGTCTGAAACTTGCTTTTTAAAATGCGACGTCTTGACGGCACGGAGCACCCACACATACAGGTGAACTCACGATTTCAACTATCAGGACTCCACACAGTTCAAAATAAGCCCAAGTTGGTTGTTTGGAGCAGGACTGACCTGCGAGATTGGCTGGTTTACGTAGATCCAGCCAGTGAGTGGATTCACTCGTAGATACTCCGGCTGCTCCTCGGACATGGAGTAAGTGATGGCCGCGTAAGTGCTGTAATCATCATCATGTGCAGCCACTCGCAGAAAACTGGTCCCGATCATGGTGTCCTCACGTAAGAAGTCTGTTAGTAGCAAGACTCTGATTATTGCACTGGAAACACTGTCCTGCTGGTGCATAATTCGATGAAAAGCTTTGATAACTGTCACATACTCTGATCCTATCTTTGAAATTGGATGTGCAAGATACTTCGATAAATCTTAACCAAAATAAATTAATTTCAAAATCAGTTTGATATATCAGCCTGGTCTCATTGTTTATACGTACATATATAGTTCTGTGATGTAGCGTTAGGCATGTGTGAGGAAAATGACTTTCTCCACTAACCAGCTTTATCAGAAAGATCATGCTGTTTGACCAGCTGACATAAGTGTGTTCAGCAGTTGGTTCACCAATTAAAAATAGACTAAGCTTTGTTGTTTATCCTATATGCTCAATGCATGTGTTTACATGCAAATAAAATCCTAAATGAAATCTGTTCATCATATAAAGTGGTCGTATCTTTTCACAAGATTTGGATTAATCTGTTTGATTCATATGGATTCAATTTATGATGCCTTTATAACTTTTTGGATCTTTTAAGTTTAGTGGCTGTGTTTATGCAACTAGGCCCAGATACTGTATGATAAATCCCTCAAGCACCATATGGAAAATCATAAAAAGCATCTATTCTGCATAAGCTTCATGGATGTCATGAAAATGTAAGACATGTTTTAGTTTTACACTCTTCAGCTGCAAAGTGTTGCGAGACAACTGTTCTGATTGGTTGTGTTTTATGACTGACTGTCGCATCTTGCCTCATTTTAATGTGTGATGTGGACAGACAAATTGGTTGTTGTTGAAATCTTCCAGCATAGCACCTGGTTAGGAAACTTTGTAAAGCAGCTTAGAACAGCATGGATATTTAACAACACTTAGTGCCTATACTTCTTAGCAATGTACAACCCAACAGGTATGAGACATGAAAGATGTTAAAAAGAAGGTGATCATTGCTCACATTCGTAGCGCAGGTTCTCAAATTTGGGGCTGTTGTCATTCTCGTCGAGGATAAGAATGTTGAGCTGGCAGATGCCTATGAGGGGGTCCGCCGCTTGGTCCGTGGCTGTCACTGTTACTGCATACTCTCTCTGCCTCTCCCGATCAAACGTCATAGCAGTTACGATAACACCTGAAAAAGTACCTCCGTTACCACTGAGCTTCTGTTTAATGATAGTTAAGCAACATTCACCAGATTCTAATACATATAAATTCACAGTACAACAGATAATATAATTTTGTTGTAACCCACAGTAAGGTTACATCCCTATTTAATCTTGTATAAAAAGGAATGAAATTATCTTTTGAAACCACGCAAACAACATTATTTAGATGCACAGCAGATTTGTGCGAAATATTCCTTCATTTTTGTTCAGTGTCAAATCTCTCTACAGCTTCCCATTTGCATTTAAGAAGTCATTGCAAACACGCCTCAGGTTTCTCCCAGTGCAATCCATTCCTATTTTCTCTCTTTATTCTCCTCTATAAAAGACACACTGATTGATGTCCAATGAACAGTTACATTTCATAAAGCATTCAATTTCTTTAAAAAGAGGGCTTGAGACAACATTTAAATGCTGTCTTTTCTCTCCCTTTGAGAGTTGGCACGTTTTGAAAGGCTATGATTAAAGTGAATTAAACAAGTTTGAATTCATGAAAATACTTCAAGGCTTAAATTTCTTTGCAAGAGAGAAAGAGAGGGAGAGAGAGAGAGAAAGGGAGATAGTCAACAGTGAATGCATGACATTATAAGAGAGTGCTTAATGAGACATTAAAGAGGTTGTGTTCTGTTTCAAACCCTGTGACTATTTCAACGACATCTGATTATTTTGAAAGGAATGACAATGGAGACATCTACTTTTATGCTCGCAGTACAGTAATTGAGTATACATTGAACCAGGAATAAGCTCATTGAATAAGTGCGCTTGAATCATTACCTGTTTCTGGATCAATGCTGAAGGCAGGAACCGTGCTGTCTTTATGCATAAAACCATATGTGACTTTTCCATTGGCTCCTTCATCAGCATCATCCGCATGGACCTGCAGCACAAATGTTCCCACTGGCTTATTTTCCAGAACTGATGCCTTCTCTTTATACTCGGCACACTGTGAGAGGGAAAACAGATAAAGAAAAGGAAAATGTACAGTAAGTAAACCCAATTTTAATAAGGCTATTTACCGAAAGGCTATGATTAAAGTGAATTAAACAAGTTTGAATTTGTGAAAATACTTCAAGGCTTACATTTCATTGCAAGAGAGAAAGAGAGAGAGTCAACAGTGAGTGCATGACATTATAAGAAAGTGCTTAATGAGACATTAAAAAGGTTGTGTTAGAAAAATTTTCTGTTTCAGATCCTGCGACTGTTATCTCAACGACATCTGATTATTAAAAAAAAAAAAAAATGGAGACATTTACTTTTATGCTCTCAGTACAGTAATTGAGTATACATTGAACCAGGAATAAGCTCATTGAAAATGTGTACTTGAATCGTTACCTGTTTCTGGATCAATGCTGAAGGCAGGAACAGTGCTGTCTTTATGCATAAAACCATATGTGACTTTTCCATTGGCTCCTTCATCAGCATCATCTGAATGGACCTGCAGCACAAATGTTCCCGCTGGCTTATTTTCCAGAACTGATACCTTGTCTTTATACTCAGCACACTGTAAGAGGCAAAAACAGAGAAGGAAAAGGAAGATGTATAGTAAACCAAACATTCTAATAAGGGTCTTTACACTTGTATTAGGATCTGTCTTGGGTGATCAGATCACAAGCGGTCAGCTGAAACACATTATTGTTTACACCTGCTAATATTGGTCTCCAATGCAACTTTAATCATAGCTTGTGAACAGGATCTCTGAGGGCCACTGTTTACAAAACACAACAAAACTGAATAAAAACAGGAAAAATGTTTTAAACATTCAATTCAATGGTAAATTACTTTTAAAGCAGCACATAATGTAGCACCAAACAAAAACCCAAAACAAAACAAAACAGCTGCATTTACCACTAGTGATTGGATCACTCAAAAACAAAACAAAACACAAAACCAAATAAAAGCAAAACTTTATTGATTGATTTATTAAATTAATGAACATAATTTCACTGATTAGACTATCTGTGCAAGACATAAGTGTGCTAATGACAACAAATGCCAAGGAGCTGATACTGTAAGGGCAGCAGAAGTGAACCATTACTAAAAAGCAAGTAATTTAAAGTAACAGAATTGGAGCGATTGAAAGATAGAAATAGAGATGAATAAGAAAAGCAGTAAACACTGTGGACTGGACGCAGACTGACGGTACAAAGAATGTTTGAGGAGGCGTATTAATCCTTATCTCTTTGGTTCTGTTGAGAGTCATCTCTGTTTTATAATTGAAGCGCCCTTGAATCAATTCCATCCCACTGAATCTGTGGAGACGTCTGGAATAAGCCTGGATAATTCAGCCATGCTCCACCACCCACACACATTCTTCATCCTTGCACGTGTGCGTAATCACAAAAAAAGAAAAAAAGAAAGCGCTGCCTCCCCTTCATCATTAGTTTGCTCAGCTTAAGATAGCTGAGGTTAGTTGAGACTCTGGGAAAACAAATACAGTATATAAATCCCTTTAAAATACATGGTGACAATTCCCAAATCGGTCCACCAACTTCCCCTTTGATGGCCACATCTGACACCTAATTAATAACAAGAGACCCAGTCCTTTCTGTGATGGTCTCTTTCATCCTGCAGCTAGCTAAAAGCAGCCGCAAACTCTGTGTTGTTCAATCAGTCAGGTGAATGTGAAATCCCATAAGGCTGGAAGTGCAAACATCAAGCATGGTACCCCTTGTTGAGTCCATCTCACAGACCTCCAGAAACCTGGCAGTAAAACACACATGCCGTGGGCCTACAAGTAAGAGAACTTCTCAGTGGAGATCCATGTTCACACATCCACGGGAACGGTTAGGTATTCCAGAACACAGATATGATGGGGGAAATGGGACAAGGTTCAGGTGGGAGCTTTATAAAAAACAACAAAGAACTTTACTTCTTAGTAACAACCCCTTTTTCTCACTTAAAAAGGGTGGATGAAGGTATTCTAGGAAGCTATAGTGGCAGGAAAAAGATAAATAGAAAGCGTGCAAAGAATAGAATGAGTGCAAAAACAGAATGGGGTTAAAATATCTAAAGATGATCAGTGGCATGAATGCTTTATTTATTTTATTTTGAGAAGTCTGGCTCTGAGGTCTTTCAGCGGAGCAAGACCTGCCACTTTGGCTTCCCCGTGCTGGCTGAAAAACTAAAGAGATGTCTTGCATCTCAGTGGATGCTAATTTGCTTCACACCCTGCCAAGAGAAACTCAAACAAAATACTCCACAGACCTGAAAATAAGTTTTTAAGTACTAAGCAACGGCCCACGGCCAAGCATCTCCTCACCATGCAGCCTGGGGATATTAAGACCCTCCAAATATCTTCAGTGTTGCACTCAACCCATATTTACTGGAGACATCGGGAAGCAAGCAGACCCATAATGATTCAGCACATATTTCAAACACTTAATTAAAAGTCTACAGCTGATCAAGCAGCAGCCCAGGTTGCTTTGCTAATAATATCTCATGAGGGAAAAAAAAGTGTGAGAGAGGATAAATTTGAGAGAAAACTAGAGACAAAATACAGAGCAAGAATATATGAGATATAATAAGGGAAGACAAATGCTCTGTTCCAAAACCTTTAGACCTAGAGAAACAGCATTCGAAGTCATCATAGGTGGCCGCTGATGCAAAGGTTGTTCAAAAGGAAGGCAATTATTTTGCATTCTAAGGCACCTAATAAAAAGAATATACATAGGCCAAACATTAAATTATTATATTTGAATATGTAGTTATAAGTCTGAATATATACAGTGTATAAAGTTATTCAGGAATTAGAAATATATATTCAGGACTTATCTGCATTTATTTTATAACATTCAGAAATAACATAAAATTATAAATAAATAAATAAATATATATATATATAT